GCGTCCCCGGCTGGCGCAGGGACTTGGGGACGCTTGTCTGTGGCTGTTCCCGTTATGTCCCGGCGTTGGTGGGCATTAGCCATCCTGCCCCGGGACTGAGGCGGTTCAGGGAGAATGGATCACACACGGGAGGCCAGCCTGCCGAGCAGAGCAGCGGGTCTGTGAGCTCCCCGGAGTGTGATGCGAATACCAGCGTGTGTCTGATCTTCGCTGTCCTTCCCCTCCCTTCCCTTCCCCCGCCCTTCCGTTTCTCCTCTCCCTCCCAGCTGTGCATCAGGGTGACCCCATTCGGGCTGCCCCCCTGCCTCCGCCATGACTCACGCTCCCGTTCTGAGCAGTAAGGGTCGAGCAGTCCGTCAGCCATCAGTCAGCAGACGTCAGGAAGCTTTCTCTGTGCCCCGCACGTGGCTGGATTTCAGAAACAGCAAGAAAGAGAACACGTGTGGCCCCGATCTGAAGGTGCCCCGTGTGACATACAACCACCAGGGCCAGGTGGTGGGCTAGAGCGGTGTGGCTGGGCCCACACAGGAAGGTCCTGGGGTCACCAGTGTGCACGCATGTGCCCGTGAGCTGGGCTGGGAGGATCGTGGTGTGAAGACCCTGTGAGGGGGTGCCTGTCGGTGTGTGCGTGTGTGTGTGATCACAACTATGGGGAGGGACCAGCAGTTGACGTAATGGCTATGTCGCTGGACTCCCATGTAGTCGACTGTGGTTCGAGTCCCAGACCTGGTGGCTTAAACTCACACCGGGCGCGTGTGTGCGTGCCCAAGATCCCGAGAGGAGAATGGAGGAGAAGGGATTGCGGCGTGGACATCCCCCTTGGGGGGTGATTTCTCGCTTTCTGTCTCTCTGTCTCTCTCTGCCTTTTATAGCAAAAACCTCTCCAAAACAAACAAACAAACAAAAAAACCACTATGGGGGAACAGCACCGCACAGTGGCGTTTTAGCCCTCGGGGTGCACCTCAGCGCAGCTTCGTGGTAGGCTTGGAGGTAGGTGTTCCCATTTTACAGGTTAGGACATTGAGGCTCAGAGAGGGGACAGCTCGCCCAAGCCTCATGAACACTCTGTGGCACGGCTGGCCTTGAACTCGGCCCCAGCACACGGCAGTGCTGCAAGCCCTCTGCCCTCAGGCAGCCCAGGGAGAGCGGCCATGGCCCTCTTCGGGACTCGGGGCCTTGACTTTCTTCACCTGGGATGCCAGGGCTGGGAGGAGCCTGCAGGCAGGAGGCTTGAACATGAGTTTCCCGGGGAAAAGCTGGAGGGTCTTTCTTCCCTGG